GAGAGAGAGACAGACAGACAGTAAAATTCTCCACGTCACTGTTTCTACTGAGTAAGCAGCTCAGTGATAAACGACTGTCCAAAATAGAAACTCACATCCTTCCTCACTCTGAGAAGAACCGATTTCTTCTTGGGACTAAAATGAACAGAAATCTGCTTTCAAAGGCAGAAGACGCAGTGGCCAGAAGGGCCTTATTTCAAATGCTATGACTTTAGATAATTTAAACCGCGTGCATTGTTCTACATGCTTCTGTGAGTGAAAATAGGGAACTAAGCTACCACGTCGACACAGACCAGCTACCTTTCCGGAAATTGCTTTAGTTCATCCCCGGGAGTGCTTTAGTTCTTTACCTGGCATGTAACTTTGGCTAATTTTTACCCAACAGGCTCTCAAATGCTTAAGACTGTCAAAGGCAGCCCAGTGAAAGACAAACCTTGAACAGAGATACTGCCTGATGGTGAGAACTCTGGACCCGAAAGATACCTGCACTGGGGGTGAGGGTGGGGACGGACTAAGGAACCAAGCTGCTCCAGTGCCACTCATTACAAAATGTCCTAAACGTCACAGTATTGTAACCTCTGCAAGAGCCCCAGTGTACAAGTATCTGCTGGTCTTTGCAATTCATCATCAGATATTATTTTAATTTGTAAGTGTTTTGCTTTGCTCCATTCGTCTTGAGTTTCTTCTCACTGGATATGGTCGTATAAGGACAGCTGCTTGCAGTTCCCTTTTTCTTAAGACTCACATGTGCTTGTGTTCTAGAAGCCTTATAGGAGTCCACTGAACCCAGAAGTGCTGCCGGCTGTTTGGGGACCCAGAGGTTCCCACCGGCTTCCAGCTTGGAGCTGCTGTCGCTGCAGGCCAGATCTCTGTGCTGCGGCTTGGCGCTCTTATTGGATTTCTTTTTCTTCTCCTGGGTCCTCATTTCAGTTTGTTCGAGGCAACGCAGCCTGGTGCTGCATGGCACATCCATGGGGCGTGGCGTTGTCTCAAAGGTGTAATAGGTCGGATGCACGTCTTCAGTGTGCGGATCTTTCTTTCGTGCAGGGCCTGACTTTGAAGCCCCCTCTAGGAGAGGTGGTGGCTTGCACAGTGCACTAGCAATTAGTCTACTTCTCCCAGGACTTTTGAGAGCCCCGGCAGCACCCTGGATAGATGGAGGCCTCGCCTTGGCCCCCTTTGCCTTCTCCCACTGCACTGTCTGGACCTGCAGCCACTCGAGCTGGATGAGCCTGTCCACGTACTTTCCAAGCAGCCCCCCAGCCCGGGGCATGGCCTCCGTCCTGCACTCTGTGTGCAGAAGCACAGCCATCTCTCGGAGGTTCCAGGAGCTGAAGGGGGGTGGCAGGAAATCGGCATAGCAGTATTCAAGTGCTGCTTGACCCCGATTTGGGGCGAGATCGAAGTAGACTGGATCGATTTCCTCTGCCCGGAGATTCAGATCTGGAGGTGTGAGGGGAGAAGGAGGCACGGGGACCCTTTCAGAATCTGACAGGTCGCTTGCAGTGTCCTCTTCTACATCTTCCCTGATAATTTTCATTGACTGAAAGTCAAGAAACATTTTGTTGCTGGACGCCCCCTGGCACCAGGAGCTGGGTGCAGCCGCTTCTGGTCTGCCTTCTTTGACGTTATCCCCAGCTGGCCGAGAGACTCCGACCAGGCCACTTCTCAGCTGGGGAGCCAGGTGAGGTACCTGGGACTTACTGTGCCTTTTTCCTGAAGAATCTTTTAAGTGTTCCACTTTATTGCAAGATGGGACAGCAAGCACACTGCTGTAAACAAACACAGCTGCAGTTCTTACTACTATATAGGACAAACAAATACAATCTGGCTGCGGGCAGAGAAATCACAAGGTCATACTTTCGGCTGTGACTGGACATTAGCAAAAGTGAGGCCTCCACATGCCTTTTGCAAGCAGCAGTATCACGGAACATTTTCCAGACTGTGTTCTACTCATAGGACACAGGGTCCCTGTGCCAAAAGCAGGTCCTATTTTATGACAAATATGAGCATTAAGGAAAATCAGTAGCATATGTTAGTGTATATTCTATAATTTTAGACCAACTGTGTCTAGAAAAATTACTTTGGAAAAACTTTGTTACAGAACTCTCAGTCTGTTTCCTATTAAATGGCTAACAGTATTCAAAAACATTCAGAAATAATGTGATGTGCTACCACGTTTTTGTATACCTGTTTTGAGTTAAATGTGAATTTAATGTAAAATGCAAGTTTCATACTGTATATTCAGTGATGGATGATGACTTAAGAGCTAGCTAAGCTATTAATATGTAAAGTATACAGCATATGACTTCTACCTTCAACCCAAAGCTTATTGATATGGGTTCGAATAGTAAATACACTGAAGACAACTGTGTTTAAAAGGATAGGAGGGCCCAGGAAGACAGCTTGGGTCCGGGGAGATGGCTCAGTGGAGTAAGTGCTTGCCTGGCAAGCGCAGGGTCCTGAGTTCAATCTCTAGTACCACAAAAAAAAAAAAAAAAAAAAAAAAAAAAAAAAAAAAAAAAAAAAAAAAAAAAAAAAAAAAAAAAAAAAAAAAAAAAATCATATGGTGCCATTATAATTCAATATGAATGAAAAACAGGATTAGGACCAGCCAGATAGCTCAGTGGACTAAAGCATCTGCTTCGGCAGAGAGCAGTGGCCAGGGTTCGATCCCTGGCTCGCTGTTCTGGCCTCATCCCCAGGATGTGTTGAGACTAGGATTGAGACTGGGTGTGGTGGCACATGCCTGAATCCCAGCACTTGGGAGGCTGAAAACAGGAAGATCACTATGAGTCTGATCTACGTAGTGAGACCCTGTAGACCCTGAACTACATACATAAAAAAAGAAAAACAGGATTAATGCAATCTAGTGAGGTCGAATCTCACAGAGATCAGAAACTGAAATTGACTTTTTAAAAATGTATTTACCAAAAACGAACCATTTAACTAAGGTTGGCAGTGCTGCTCTGTACCAGGAAAGAAGTCAGATCATGGGAACAACACGTGTGGGGAGCGTGCTCTCTGGAAAGCTGAGATCCACTCGCCAGTGACTCCAACCACACTAAGTGATTATTTAAAAATGTGTTATGCTTAATAAATAGAGTACGTCAAGCCACTGCCAAAAGCGCAAGAACAGGTCCACAGATGTGCCCAAATGAGGGAATGAGAATGAAGGGACGGCCATCATTACGAATTTACAACTAAGACTGTTAAACCCTTTCTTTACAACTAGCTCTCAGGGTACAATCACAGAAGGCAACTAACAGTGCCACTTCTGTATAAGCAGCAGCCAATATAAAAAGGTGATCATGGGTGGGGCTATAGCTCAGTGACACAGCACCTTCCTGGCAAGCACAAGGTCCTGAGTTGAAGTTCCAGTACAGGGGGTGGGGGGTGGGGGTGGTAATTAAAAGCTTGCTCAAAACTGTAGGTTCTGTTAGCTCCCCAAAACACGACCCCTGCAAGCTACAGATAAATAATGCTTTTAAAGTTATTCTGTCCACTCACTTAGGCTATGTGAAAAACCTAAATGTTTATTTATTTTTAGGGGGTTACTGGGAATCAAACTCAGGACCTCACACTTGCCAAGCAGGCCCTGTGGCACTAAGCTATATGCCCTGCCCCTAAATGTTTAATTATTTTTTTACCCAAATACATAATTTTTCTAGTCACACATATTCAGCCTGAAGAAGTGAGGTAATAGTCATTTGGTAATGTAAAGCAATTATGTAAAAACTATTTACCTGCCTTTCTGATGTGATTCATTCACCCTACTCCTTTTCTTGAGAAAATCACACGGCTGATCATCATCAAGAGTTGGATGAACTGTCTAAAAAATAGACATCTGGTAATGAGTACTGTGAACACACACATGCAAAACATACAAGAAAAAAAAGTACAAATCTAAGGAAGATGTACCCTCAACGTTTACATCACCTTTTCTGTAGTGTTCAAAATATTCTTGCTCAATCTGTTGGAATGTGACAGCAAGGAAAGTGACTTCTCTGCTCCTCTTATTCTTGGAAAGTACTCAGCATCAGCAGAACTAGAGGCAACAGAATAGATCTTAAGTAATGACTGCAAACAGTCCTACAATCAGTACCATGCTGGTCTTTCAATTCTTCAACATTTGTATACTACTGAAACACAGGAATTGTGCAATGTTACCGGAGATACTGTCCTGTCTTTGCAATTTTGTCTTTCACAATAGCTATTAGCTACGTGACTCTTAGCATTGCAAATGAATATCCTTTTCTCTTTTTCTCTCTTCCTTCCCCCGCCCCGCAATCTCCTTAAAAATAACACAGGAAAATCATTTGAGGAAGCCTGGGGAAACAATTACGGTCAAGTCTTTCTCCAAAGTTTCCACGTTCACTCACTTATTCATTCAACAGATAATTATAGGAGTGCTTAGAAAGTGGCTGGGATTATGCACTAGCCCCTCTTTCCATGCAGTTCACTCTAGCAGGGACTCTCCCATTGAGCCGTCCTGCCTTCCCTAACACATCGTGCACTCAATGTCATTAATAAACATATTGGCATGTTACCTCATTGCTCCTGGCTGAAGGTGCCTGGAAAGCATTAGCAAACGTCACCAACTTATGTTACTTCTTTATGAACTCTGATCGCTTATACCTGACTGCTGTCACTCCTGACCTTTGAAGAGCCTGTTGAAGGTGCCCCTATCAGAAACTGAATACTATTTCCCGTAATATCCTCTGCCTCTTTTAAAATTGAAAAGTAGATCCCACCATAAGCCCGTAGGCGTGTTTAAGCCAGTTTACAAATGAGGGTAAGAGAAATGACACGGATCCTCACAACTAATCGTAGCATAAACAACACAACTGACTTGAGGTGAGCACACTGTGATGGACCTTTTCATCATTCTCCTTTTGTTCCTGCCACCTTGCCCCCTGGACAGTAAAGGAGCCTTCGGGAAGGAATGCCGGGTTTGAACGACCCCGTCCCCTACAGAGCGCCTGGCACCCTAGCCTCCTCTTTCCTCCCCATACGCAGGGCAGCACAGCTGGCTGTGGCACTGCCGGAGGTTCCCGGGCGACACAGCCCGCAGGCCCTGGGGACGCGGCAAACTTCCGGTGTCCCTGGTGCCCCAGCTCGCACAGAAACTAAGTAAGAGGCGCTGGCTGCACCAGCGTCCCCGAGCCCCCGGGCTCCCTAGGCTGATTTCAGGCAACCGCAGGACTCTCCCCAGGGCCTCGGCTCTGGTTCCGTCTTCCTCCCGGCTGGGAGCCCTGCAGACGGAGGCCGCGCCTCCTGCTGCGGCGCGGGGAGCCCAAGGCCGGCAAGGCATTGTGCGGCCGCAGGGCCGGGCCGGGCCGGCACTTGTGCGCGGAGAGGCTGCCCGCTCCGGCCAGGGCCGGGGCTGCGGGAGCAGGTGCACAGCCGAGCGCAGACGCCGAGCTCGGGTCCGGGGACCGGTTCTCCCCGGCGGGGCTCTGCCCTCCTCGGCCCACCCCCAACCCGCCCCGCTCCGCGCCCGCGGCGCGCAACGCCCGGTGCCCGTCTGCACAGGCGGCAACCGAGAGCGCCGGCGCAAGCCTAGCACACCAACCGCGAGCGACCAGACCTGTGGCGAGGCCGCAGCGGCAACTCCGGCGGCCTGGGGTCAACAGCCGCGCGGCGGCGGCCGCCAGCGCTGCGGGGAGCCGAACGC